AGCTTGAATGGTCAGAGCTGGGACTGGAGAGACCAGGATAAGAGCGATACTGATTGTTCTCCAATTTCCTCCCTCCCCCACCAAAGGGACCTTTTTCATTGTGTTCCCCAAATTAGAAAAAATAAACAATGACATGCCTTCTTTTAAAATAATGAATAAAAGTTTTAAGACAAGGTGTACCTGGCAGTATATGAAATCCCACAAGGTGCTACCTGGCAATAAAGTAAATTTCACAAAATGATTTCTGAGCAAGGGAAGAGTGTTACAAGGCTAGCAATATGAAATTTCTAAAAGTATTGATGCCTTTTTAATTCTCTCAGTAAGAAGAATGTATCAAAGTGCTAATTGAAAGGGAGATGACTTTCTCTCTGGCAGACTGTATGCATCCAAATCCTGGAAAAGTTGTGTTATTGTAAGTGGGAGCTGAATGTCAGCCCCCTGATTCAAAGTTAGTTGTTACTTGAAAGGGCAGCTCAGCATCACAGATACTCCTGGAGCATGGGGCTTGGCTTCCCACCAGGGTCAGCTTTAGGGTTGATAACTGTCCATGGTACTGGACTCAAGGTGGCACTGGGCTTAGAAGGATGTTGTCATAACCTGTCTACTCCCCAGCTAAAACTGCCAGTACAAACAGTTAATCTTTATATGTAATGCTAGCAATACCTCACTTTTGTGGATACTGTTTTGTTAACATTTCCAGTATTCAAAGGAAATTTGATGATACATTTGCTCATTCAATATAAGGTGTGCATATGAGTGGACAGTTGAATATGCAAAGTTATTACTTTATATGACAAAAATACTACATGAAAGTAGAAATTAGCTATAGATATAATTAGTACATAAAAATTAACCCCAGAAAAGTCATATATCCTGAAGAAATTTGAAACAAGATGAAATTTGGCACATATCACAGCTTGACAACTCTTGGACAACATACAACATGCCCTGAAATGTCTCTTGAAATTGTGTGAAGTGGCACTATGTTGTGGGCAGCAACAGTTGTCATTCGCTCTCATTTGGGCAAAAGCCACCAACATGGAAAAACAGCAGCCATTATATATGTTACTGGGAAATGGTTGTTACATTATTTCTGTTCTACCTAGTGCCATGATTGTTGTGTCTACAATCAGGTCATCTAAGTCAGATCACCTCACTCTGCAAAAATGAAGAAACTGCAGTCTACAAAAGCGTTTGGATGGTTTGCACATTAAGGGAGGTCACTGATGGCATGAAAAATTCTGGTCAGGAGGATGGACTGTTAGGTTGAATGGGAGAAGACTGTACAAGAGCAGTGTAGCTACGTGCTGGACTTATGAAAGAAGTTTGTCTGGATTCATTATGGTCTAATGGTTCTGTGTGACCCCTTGATCATCTTAACTGATAGATGATCATCTGAATGCTAAGTCAATTAATGGGGAAACAGCCATTCAGAACATCCTTCCCATATCGTCATGTCTCTGCTTGAAGGATCTTGATCCTCCAAGGATCTGCAAGATATGATCAACAATGAGGAGCCTCCCACAATAGGAGACCTGTGAGAGTCGGATCCTCTGGGGGAAATGACTGCAGGATTCTCACTGCAGGAGGAGAGGAGTTCTTCCTCTGAGATAAAAACTGGTGTCCACCTAGCCCCAAGAGTATCATTGCCTCAAGAGAGTGGCAGTAAGGCTCTTTGAAAAGAGGTGCTTAATTACAAGGGAGGAGAAGGGGATTGCTTGGGACAAGGCCCTCCCCCTGAGTAGGACCATTGCCCACATCTTGACCCCTTCTGCCTTAACTGTATCCTTGCTGCTCTGAAATGTTTGTGTATAACCATTTGCCTGCTTAATTGACTTGCCCATTTTATGCACCCTGTACTTGCCTAACACAGATTCTGCACTAGAAGAGCAGGATACATCATTTAATACACATATCACACATCTTCTCCTTTCTCTTCCAATTATTTTGTTTTTTCTTCCTCTTTCTTTGCAGAAGAAAATTGTCCCAACCCAAGCAATTAGGTTTAGTCAGGTGGGGGAGGATTCACTGGCACTAATTGAAGATTTTTTTCCTAAGCTTAATTGCTAATGGGGAGAGGTTATAACAAATGGGGAATGGGTTAACATTTCATCCCAGCTGCACCCCCTGAAAATTTCACAAGTAATTCATCTTAGGAGAGGAAATTCCTATTGTTAGCTGGAAAATCAGCAGTTTTAAATGTATGGAGCACATGCATACAGGATTTTCCCCTTCAGAACATCACCCTCCATGGATACAGAATGGTGCAAATGAGCAAGGAGAGGGTAGTGTTACCATGTTCCCTCACTTTACATGTTTAGTATGTTTGGAATTCCTGAATAAGGCTTTTATAAGTAAAATCACTCAGATCTATGCCAACATGGATGCCATATCCTGATGTAATGTTGGCATCTTGCTTGTTCAGTTATAATAGATATATTTCTAAGTATACAGTCCAATGATGTGGCTAGATCTCTTTGCAGGTATGACCTATCCCTCCTGTGCTTTATGCTTGCCCTTCCAGGCTTACAGCAGGGGTCCCCAGCCTGAAGCCAGCATGTAGTCCCCAGACACCTCCTGTGCAGCCCTTCAACCTGATGCCAGCATGCAGGGTGTGGGTGGGTGGATGATTGACTAACCATCATGGGCAGAAGCAAAATCCTCAAATGTTTTTTCAGTCTTCATCATGAAGTTGATGGCTTCTTGAAAAGAAATGGCCAAGAAGTACTTTTCTGACCCTGGATGGATTTTTGATTTGGCTTTCTTAACTGATATCACAGAATATCTGAACAGATTGAATATAAGGTTGCAGGAGAAAGGAAAGCTTGTGCGTGACATGTATGTGTATGAGAAAGAGCGGCATACAAATGCAATAGATAAATAAATCTGGACCAAAAGCTTTTGAAGCAAAACTAAACATTTTTGAAGCAAGTTAGTCAAAGTAACTTTTTCAAACTTCTCATGCGGAAATAAACTAAAATTTGAGAAGAATGGGAATTTACAATTCAGTGTTGAAAGACTCATCAATGCACTGAACCTATTGTAGATGGAATACCAGAACACTGATTGCCATAAGCATGGAAAGGAAATAAGAATGTTTCAGAATCCATTTAAAGTAACACCAGATGATGCAAGTAGCTTTTTGCAAATGGAACTAATTGATTTGCAAACCAGTGATCATCTCAAAGAAAATAGTCTGTTAGATTTCTGTTCTGTTCTACCTGATATATTTTTTTAACCTAAAGAAATTTGCTGCAGGCATATTCACAGTCTTTGGCACTGCACACAAAGGCGAACAAACTTTTTCCAAGAAGAACATTGTGAAATCTGTAAGTCTTGACCAACATTGTAAGTCAAGACTTACAGATGAACATTTGCATGACATTTTAAGACTGTCACAAACCTTGACTTGGACATTAATGACTTGGCTAACAGAAAACAATCACAAAAATCACACTGACTAGGTAAGCATGTGTAGCTTGATAAAAGGATTCCACAGTAAAACATTGTTCCAAAATGTATTGCATTCAGGTTAACATTTCTTTATCGATCTCAGAATTGATCTCAGTTTACTTTAGATCTTAATCACTAGGTTAATAACTTTGTTATATTGCGATTTAAGATTTGGCCCTCTTTAGGCACTGAGCACTCTAATTCAGCTCTCATGTCCCAGAAGGTTGGGGACCACTGGTGTATAGCAGTAGCTGGAGGGTGGAGGGACTTGCCAAATGGTAAGGTTAGGGGTGTGTGCCTCTTTACACGCACTCATGATGGTGTGATCCCATTATAACCATAACAGGCGTTGTAAAACTTTTTTAAAAAAATGATAAATGATCCCTGAAATGCATATTATTGAATGATTTTCAGTTAGTTTCTAGTATTAAATTCTTAGACAAGTGGCATCGTGGCTTCCAAGCATTTGTGGATGAGGTGGGTTATTTAGATCCATTACTGTTTAGCTTCAAGCCTGCATCAGATGTCATGTGGTATGTTCAACTAGTCAACTGGCAACCATTTCTGCTAATGTTCCAATGGAGCAAAGCTTAGGGAACCAAGATTCAAGGGGACCCCTAGGTATGGAATGGGCTTCCATGGGAGGTGGTTAAAGCCCCATCAGTGAGGGTAGTTAAGGAGAGGCTGGACATGCACATGGTAGGCATGTCACAGGCCGAGCCAGCTGGAGCCGGGGGTTAGACTAGATGGCCCAGGAGACCCCTTCTGACTCACTCAGTTCCTAGCGAATTTTGATGCTATTATTCCTAGTATCCCAGACTACTGTAATTTTCCATATTCCCATAAAGGTCAGGATTTTTCCAAGACTTCCCTAATCAGTGTATAGCTTTGCAGTCAACCCCATTGCAGCCAGTTGGGTGTCATCTGAAGGACAGAGTTGTATGGTTGCCCTATAGCCTCCTGTTGGCTGTGGAGCAGTCCCCTCAGAGGAGTGAAGTGGGCAAACCCCTCCCTTAGGGGGCTATAGGAGTACATTAGGGTGAGGCCTGTGCCTAGAGTCTCAATAAATAAAGCTGGACATTGAGTCACTAATTTAAAAAAAAAACTATGGTTGAATTCCTTGATGCATCTAGGACTCCCTGGCCATATATTATGTTGGTTTCCTTTAGTTTGTCCCCAGCTAGCTAAAATGCCTATAAGTTATGAGATTCTATGGAAGAAGAAGTATGTATGACCACATTCATAAACAAGCAAGCCATTCTGTTTACTCCTGTAGCAAGGAATATGAAGTAATCTTTGTCCATTTTGCTTTTGTAAGCTCTCCAGTTATTTTAACAATGAGATCTAAACTCATCTTATTTCTCTCTTCTCTTGAACAGTAGCACATATACTATCTAATAAGCCAAAGTACCTCCACTTGATATTATTATAAATTATATTCACACATTTGTACATGTGGAAATCAAGAAGCCAAATCCAGTCTGTGCTGTATGATTTTAGTCTGTGCTTTACTATATTCTTTTCCTCCCCCACCCACCCCTCAACAGGGTATGCTGCTAAAGCGGAGTGGCAAGTCACTAAATAAGGAGTGGAAGAAGAAATACGTCACTCTGTGCGACAATGGAGTCCTAACGTACCACCCAAGCTTACATGTAAGTGTGCATATCTTGCAGTTCAAGACCTGTAATCCTATTATGTAATTATGAATCACTTTGAACAAATATGCAGCATCGTGGATTATGTGATAAGATGTAATAATGAATAAATTATGAATAATCATAATCAAGAAAATAAGAGTATGATCGGTAAGCTTTTGAAACTAGGGTTGTTGTTGTTTGTTTTTTGTTTTGTCTTTTTGACACTAGATTTTCCTGAAGAAAAATTGCGAGCGTAGGAAGAGGAAACTAACAGTCCAGAAATGAGAGGAGGTAGAGGAGGTGGCAGCTCCTTCTACACAGAATATTTGACTAGGAAGTTTATACTTTCCCTTCTTTCCCAGATTACCTCTGAAATATGCAGGGCATGCTTTGGAACTGCTGTTCCAGTCCTGACTAATGCTTGCATTATTTGTCCCATTAGAGCGATGAAGGTGAGATCCCAGTGTGATTAGAGGGTACAAAACATAGTGTCAGATATGCTACCATAAATGCCTAATTTTATTGTTAATGCACATACTGTGTAGATAAGACACACCTTCCTCTTTTGAAGATATTAAGTGTATATATTACACTTAAGGAATATTATTATTCCTATTTATTGTTATTGTTTATCGATTGTTTTTATCATTGTTCTTGGCTTTAATGTTATAAGCCGTCCTGACACTTTGTTGTAAAGACAGCATATAAATGTTTTAAATAAATTATATATATATATATATATATATATATATATATATAAAAGAGAGAGAGAGAGAGAATTCCTCAGCACAAAAAAACCTTGATTATGTGAATATTTTTATTTGAGAGATTTTAATGCACTTTTCAATCCACCTTCCCCTCACAAAACACGTTGCCCTGTGCTGTCAAGTCACCTCCATTTCATGACAGCCCTATGAATGAATGCCCTGCAAAATGTCCTGTCCTTGACAGCCCTGCTCAGATCTTTTTTATTTATTATCTATTTGTTGAACATGGGTGCCACACCCCTTAGGTTTAAGGCTCTCAGGGCAGCTCACAATTTATAAACTACAAAACATAAACACACAGTTACAGTTAAAATGTACATATGCATGCTATGTACATGCATCCAGCAGGAGCAGCTAATTTTTAACAGCCTGGTGCTGTTAGAATAAATTAGTTCAGAGTTTTTAAAAAGACAGCAGTGATGAAGTGATGGCTCTCTTTGCAGGGGGATTCCTGCAGGCATGGGTCCACCACTGGGAAAGCCCTGTTCTTAGTACGCATCAGGCTAACAGGACTTGCTGGTGGGCCAGAGAGTCTCACCTCTCGCCAGACTGCGGAAACCAGAATCAATCCAAGTGGATAAAACGGTGCACTGGACACTCCATGTGGACAGCACCTTGTTACAATAGCAACATTGAGCTCACTGTGAAGCAAGCATTTTTGTCCCCAAATGTCTTCCAAAATTATCACATTAGACTGGTAGCATCCCAGTTTTAGTTATGCTAATTTCCCCCTAATTATCTGTTGGGTGGCTACTTGAGGACACAATGCAGACAGCAAACTAAGGCTTCTTTGTAGCTCTCACTGCGTGCAGTGCCACGTGTCTAAAACTTACTTGATCAAGGTTACCATTTCAACCGTTGTCCAGCATGTTTTATTGCGTGAAGCTCTCCAGAGAATGAGGGAGCAGCCTCAGAGAAGGTACTCAGGAGTAATTGTGTTGAAGGCCTGTTGCATTTGCCCTTCCTCATTGAGATTAGGGATGTGTGAGGAAGCTGTTTTGGTGGTAGGAATCCATTGGATTCCCTGGGCTGAGCTCCCCAGACTCCAGATTCCTTTCTCACCTCCGTGGGCCGAACTGCCCAGCAAGCATGCTGAGCATTCACATGGTTCTCCACCAGGAAGCAAGTCCTGTCGCTCTTCAACACACATGACTTGCCAGTGCTGCACTTGCTGTGAAAGAAGGTTGCTGGTTGGCAAGCAGAGTTCCACAAGTGCTCACAGATTTCCTCTCTGCTCAGCTTTCTACCTAAGCGAGAGCCAAGCACAAAGAGAAGTCTAATGAACAGAAAAGGACCGGATTCTGGGGAGGAACCTCGCAACCTGAACTGAGACTGGAATGTGAATAGGATGCCCTGCTGTAGCTGCTGGAAAATCCCTCAAGCATTCAGGAGTCATTCAGATTCTGAAGTCTTTAAGAATAGAGCAATTTAGTGAGTCCCTTAAACCTGATGGAGAAGTAATTCATTACAAAATTCATTACAAAATTAACCAAACTGGTGGCCATCACTACATCTTCTAGAAGTACATTCCACTATTTAAGTATGCATTGATGTACTCTTATCTATCCTAAATCTCCCAAGTGTTAGCGTCATGAAATAACTCAAGGCATTATGAGAAAAGGAGAAAAATGTCACCATGGATAATTTCATGTCTCTCCTTACTCATGTTTTTGCGAAGATAAATAATCCCAAATGCTATAACGTTTCCCCATAGGAGAGTGGTTCCATCCCTTTGATCATGTTAATTGCCCTTTTCTGCATTTTTCCAACTCTGCAATAACCTTTTTAGATGCAGTGACAAGAACTGTACATAATAGTCTTAAGTGTAGTTGCACCCTAGATTTGTGTAAGAGACATATTTCACTGGCAGTTCTATTTTCAGTTTCTTTCCTAATTATTCCTAAATGTGGACTTTTGCCTTTTTCACAGCAGCAGTATATTGGGTTAACATTTTCATTGAGCTTCCACCATAATTCCAAGATCTCTTTCTTGGTCAGTCACTGCTAGCTCTGATCCCATCAGCTTACAGACAGCCAGTGTGGTGTGGTGGTTACAGTGTTAAAGTGAGAACCCTGGAGATCTCCACTTGGCCATGAAACTTACTGCATGACTTGGGCCAGTCGCTCACTCTCTGCTGGGCACTCTTCTGCTGCAGCAAATGCTGCAGGAAAGTTGCCAGCACAGCTCTTCATTCTTACAGCATCTCACTATAAGGCATCAGGTGAGCAGCTGCTCTAGTGAGTAATACCAGCCCCTCTCCTACTACTGCAGATCCTACAAGAAAGGAGTTTGTGGGGCTTTCTTCAGTCATGGCCAATGCCTTTTTCCAAGAGGCTTCCCAGAGAGTCCACCCACCAGATGCCACACTTTGAGGAGTCCTCAAAGCAAATCAGTATCCCACCCAATGTTCCAGCATATGCTGTGGTCCATTTACCTGCTGCATCAAATGCCACAGCAAGAGCTTGGTACTCTAGGTACTTGTATTTTAGGTACTTGAAAGAGTACCTTCCATCCAATTGCCCGGGGGAGCGGGGCATCCTCACTATCATGGGTGCAAGAAGAGAAGAAAGAACAGGTGGGAGGTCTTGTGTTGCCTATGCCCAACCAACTTGAACAAATTTGGGGAAGGGACACGGGGGCTACAGGGTGAGGAGGAACAGGCAGAACTTGCCACCTTCCCCATTCCACCAGTGAGAAAAGTTCACTGGATCCAAAGCCTTCCTTGGACAGAAGAATAGATTCAGATGGATGGTATGAGTCAGAGCCACAATTTCAGTACTACAGAGATTGCTTAGAACATTCCAAATGAATATTTAATCTAATTTTAAGATTGTCTCTCTGAGCTTGAAAGTAACTCAAAGTCTTTTTTATTTTACATTTTACATTCTCAGGTTGGAGTATGTACAGGTAGTGTGTCATTATGTGGCTCCATTGAACAGTATTTTATAAATATGTGGTTTTGGCTAAGCTTATAACACGGTGGTAGGTTTCCTAAGGTCTTTCGTAGGAGATAATCTCTTTTTTTCAGGTGTGCCTGTGGCTTCAGTGGAAACCAATCAAGGTGCGATTTATGTTCATTAAGTGCTTGTCAAAACTGAAAAATTTTCTAATCAACAGCAATCTAACTGAAGCCTCCTCAGTGGCTGGGAGTGTCGCCTCTGCAGTATCGGCTACTTGCCTGTTACAACTCTAGGCTAGAAATCCGCTGATGATTACATTAGGCTAAGCTGCGAAGTAAATGAACCATATCTTATTTAGGTGCAACTAGCTTCAGTGTAGTCCTGCCCTGCAGGGCACTTTATAGCATTTTATGGCTTTAAAATTAGTGTAGCTTCCCATTTGCTGCAGGGTGCTGCATGTTATGCCTTTGAACTCCATAAGCAAAGGGAAGGGGGTCTTTGTTTTTCTCTCCCCCCCTCCATTTTTCTCCGCATTTTAGCAATTTTATTTTGCATCTTTTCCAGACGGCATTTTGCAATAAAGATGTCTGACTGCCCTCTATACACAAAATGTAGAGGCATCAGCATTTGGCAGTCAGTACATACAGGGTTGCTAGTGTTTTGTTTTGGATTTTTTAACACAATATTTTATAGTCAGCAATAGACTTGTAGGTGGTTAACTAGTTTCTCAGAGTTACCAAACCTTTCTCAATAATAAAAAAGCATTTTGAAAGAAAAGAATGACCTTAGTTATAATTTGTTGCATTTTGTAATGCTTGCATGAATTCAACTGTGTAATGTCACTGAAGAAATATGTTTAAATCATAATGAATATGTTTTCAGTACACTGAAAAATATGTTTAATTTAATGCACTAAACATACATCTGATTCATGATGAGTGCATTAAATAGGAATATTTACATATGCATTTAAGTTAAACCATTGAGTTCTTGCAGAATAGGTAACTATTAATTATCAGAATACAAAAAGACAATAAATTGTGCATTTGTATAAATTGATTGAGATAATGAGACTTTGAACCATTATACTTAAAACTGAAATGGAAGAAAATAAATAAAATGGTGAAAGACCATAATTTTGGACTCTTTTTCAAGTATTAATATTATGTTTGTGAGATCTGTTTAGATCCAAGCAGAGAGGTTCATGGAAGGAACCAGGGTAATGCACTTTGAGTGGGATTCTTAAAGCTGGGGGGAAGTGAGTCCCAAAGACACACACCTTAAAAAGCATCACTGTGAATGTATCTCCTTAAAACGAATGAGGTTTTTAACCAAGTCAGCTAAATAA